GTTTTCTGACACCCTTCAGGTTTTCTGTTTGTTTATAGAAATCTATGTCAGTTCCTAGCATCCTGTGTACTTAGTTACTCCTTAATATTCTAGAAAAGTGACCATTCCTGGGTGTTGCGACTGCTGCCTGTTCCCATGCCCTAGGCAGGCTCTGGCACACACTAGGCACCCAGGAAACACTGAACAAAAAGCCTGAATTCAGAACCTGGCTCTAAGAAATTGCAGAGCTGGCCATTACAGTCTAAAGGCCAACGGGAGGCCGCTCTCAGAAGTAATGACCACAGAAGAGAAGGAAGGTAGGCCAGAGGCTGGAGAGGCAGAGCCCACCCAACCCCCTGCACTACGGTAAGCAGCTTTCATCACCGCCTCCATCAGTGGCGCGCGCCTGGGATCACTTTCCCGGTTCTCATTTCTAAGGCTGCTGCTGGGTTATTTTGGTCCGGAAACCTGATCCTTCGCTGGGTTTATTTTAGCACCTTGGAGAACTCTCAGTGCCGCACCGGATCCGACGCCGCGCCCAGCCTGCAGTCGCCCCCTCTGTCTTTTCCCCAGAGGCTCCCAGCCACGGGCACCGCTCACCCCGGGCTGGGGCCAGAACGAGTCCCCTGGCCGCGGCTCCACAAACTCAGGGCGGCGTGGAGGCCTGGGCCCGGGGAGACCCTGCGCACTTCGAGGCAGCTGCTGAGAGAAAGCTCCCCGCTTGTGGACCCAGCGCATTGGGCCCACGAATGAGGGCTCACCAGCGACCTCTGCTCAGCCTTTGCCCACCAGCCAAGCCCACAGTTACACGCGACACACCCCACGCAAACACACTCACACTCTCCCGCACACTCTCTCCTCCATCACAAGCATGCCCACAGCTGTGCTCACCTACACCCACAGCAGCTCACATGGGTACATGCAAATGACACTCTTCCACAGACACACACACACACACAGGGACATTCACAGTCAGAACAAGGGTAGACGCATCTCACACACAGCTGTCCCAGCACGTGTTCTCTTACCGACAGACACTATCACACCACCAGGGGCTTGCTCACACCATTACACTTTAAATCACCCCCAGAGGTTCGGATGTGTGGGCACTCCCCAGCGCACTCCCCCGACCTCGGTGAACGCATTTTCCACGCCACTTCCAGCTCAATACGGAACTGCACATCAAGACAACTGACTCGTCCACTTCCTGATTGATGAGATTGATTCTTGCAACCACTATGAGCATCAGTTCTCAACTATTCATTGTTTATGCTAATTCATGCCGTCATTCATCATTCCTGGAGCTGTCCCTCATTTTCCTTCTGCCCCACAGGGAGTAAGTATTGCTGACTGTCTGAGGAGGACTGAGTTCCCAGCCAAGACGTTCGGTGAACAGTGGCGGAAGATGATGGAGAGGCCGGTGGGGAGCTCTCAGGCTAACCCTGGGAGAATGTGGTTTGGAGCATTTGGCCAAGATGGTCTATGCTCCCAGGTTCACAGCCCGATCAGACAGTGGGCTTTATGCACTGGTCACTGTCTCCCTGCTGCCCTCTCTTCCCAGCCACTGTCCCTCAGGTGGAGAGCTGTGTTATCACTGAGCTGGAGCCAGGAGACTTGGGATCTAGTCACAGAGCCTTCTCTGGATGATTCCTCTGTGGTCCCAGCTCTCTCTCACCTGGTCAGGTCCAGCCATATATCTGCAGGCCTATCCAGCCTTGCCTAGATTTGCCACCTTTCCTTTTAGCCAACTGGCCATTGATTCTGGCTCCACCTGCCTGTCCTTGGTGGCTATTCCAAGCCTCCCCATTGGCTTTCTCTCTGGTTCTAAACAGTTGGGAAAAGAACCCTGCTTCCCAAGGCAACAGAACCTCAGTGCTTCCTATTTTCCTCCACAGCCTGAGGACTTCCTCTCTCTAAAAATGTCTTTCTGGACACGCGAGGACCTTGCCTTTGGAGGTAGTGAGCTCTTTGCGAATCTGCTATGGCCCTAAATGCAGCTTGGTTTACAAGACTCAGAAAGCCTTGTGAGTACTTGTGGCAGCCACTGAACATGAGGTCACTACACCTTTAAGGGACCTCTGGTGGAGGGCCCGCCCCATCCAATCATTCAGCCTCTGGGTTCAACTGTCACCTCCCATCCCCAACCCCTGCACCAGGCACCTGTGTAGTGAGATGACAAGGCCTAGCTTGGGGGCCATTGCCGAGGCTATGAAGATGTTTGCAGAAGCCCTAGCTCATAGCCTGCTCAGAAGGGAGATGTTTTGCTGGAGCCATGTCATAGGCCTCTCTGAGGGCTTGTTTAGGGCTACATGCTGTTTTTGCCTCTGACTTGTATGGCTCTGGGATTTCATGATCTCTCTAGTCCAGTGTACCTGGACTATGCAGTCCTGACCTAGGTATGGCAAAGTGTGGGCCCATCGGCATAGAACATATCTCTAACAGATGTCCCTTTTCTCTACTCCATAGACAGTGGCATCTTACACTCTCATGGCCACGTCCTGACCCTCCACACATGCTGAGGCTGATAGAGGTTTGTGTCCAACATTCACAAACCTCCCTAGAATGCCATGGAAGTAGAAGGGCTTATATGGGATGGTGGAAGAGCCAGTGAGGCCCAAGGGTGTGCAAGCAGGCAGATCAGGAGCTGGGCCAGGGGATTTACAAGTTAGCCTAGTCCACACAGACCTTCTGTCTGTCCTGGCTGCGCCTACAGAAGCTACCTCAGGTGTAGCCTGGTAACTCCTAACCCTCTGTCGCTCGGGGTGAAGTCCTTCACGTGGGACGATGTGATTGGGGAGCCAGTTAAGGGAGGTTGCATTCTGTTGCATAAATCCTTACCTGTGGTCCTGTTCTGGTAGACAGTCCATCTTAATGTGGAGGAACCAGTCTTAGCAGGCAAGAGTGTGGGCCTGAGGGGTGGTGAGATTAGAGCCCGGGACCCAAATTCACTGTCTTCTGGTCCCTGTTTTTTTTTTTTTTTTTTTTTTTTTTTTGTCACCTCCCAAGGTCAAAGTGAATGGTAAAGCTATCGCTGGATTGGTTCTATGGTGCTCTATCGCCATCGTAAACTCATGGGCTACGTTCCATGGCAGTACTGTCACTTCCAGTGGGCTTCAGGGGAACCCCTCCCCAAGAAACCACCTCCAGGGGCTTCCCTGTGCAGCGGAGCACTGTAGCCTGTGGCATCTTCTAAGAAATACAGGGCTCCATGCATGCACGCACGCACCTGGAGCAGCCTGGGCTTGGCGTCTTGTTTTTGAGAGAGCATCTGTGCTTTCATGGAAGCCCCTTGACCCTGGTGTCTAGTAGGTTCTGGGCATTTGGGGTGATGGCTTCCTTCTGTATAAATGGAGTAGCGTAGCAATTGTTTAATGGCACGAGGTGTTGCAGGCCGTAGGGTTCCCAGAACAACAATGTAGGGTGGAGTCTGGGGAGGCCACTGTGGCTCCACGGGCCTCAAAAAACTGCAAACATGAGGAGCTGCGGTTTTACATTAGGCAGGACTGTTACCTGAAAGTTGGATGGGAAAGGGCTGTCACCCCACTAGCTGGGAACATGGAACAGCGGTGGCAATGGTCAGGATGTGGCTGGGAAAAGGCAGTAGCCACCTTAACTGGCCATTTCCTGCTGTGTGACAAGGATCCCTCACACAGAAACCCTCCCAAAGTTTCAGAAATGCTCCCTCCCTCGACTGCCCTCCCGTGCACTCAGTGGACTCTGGCCCTGGGCCTATGCACAGCACCGAGGTCAGAGCTGAGGGACTGTGGTGGTGGGGCTGGGCTTTAGCATGGCTGGCAGGTTTTCTGATGTCACAAACTGTCCTTTATCTAGAAGGTAACTGCAGGGTAGGGATGGAGCTAAGGCCTGAGGCTGCTTAGGTTCTTGCTCTCCCACTGCTGTCAGGGGATAAACTTATGAACCTCAGTGGTGTCAGCCGGGACATCTGCCAGGTTGGGGTGGTAGGCAGGTCTTTCCAGTCTGGATTTTTTTTCTCTGTGAGATGTACATAAAGAGCCTTACCACTCAGAGTGTCCGATGAATGTAAACTTCTCACACAGGTGAGGTCAACTAGCTGACTACCCTCTGACCATGCTGCAGATAAAAAAACGATCAACACCGCGGGGTCCAGGCCGGAGAAAGGGAACACACAACTTTTCCCACCCTGCAAACCTTCCCAGCCTTGGGGCCTCCCAGAGCCTCCACTCTCTCCGCCCAACCACCATTCCCAGCAGCCAGGATTCTCAGGGGAGTGCCCCAAGTCTCCTGAACTGGAAAGCTGCTGGCATCTAGAAGCCAAAAGGGCAATAGGCACACCCCAACACCTCTCTCAGGACCGGAGAGAGACACAGAACTACACTACCCAGAATTCCTAGGGTTAGCAAAAAAGGAAATGTCGTTTATGCAAGAAGAGGCTCAACTCCCCCAGCAGCTGCAGGGGGGTGGGGGGGGAGGGATAACCAGGGGGAAGGGTGCGCTGAGTGCCGGAGCGGGGGGTGGGGGGGGGGGGGGTGGAGAGCCGGGCGGGCGGGAGGAGGAGGCGGTGCTCGCCCGCCGACTGCCGCTTGCGGACCTGCATCCCGCGGGGCGCACGAGCGAGCGGCGGTACTGCGTGCGCCGGTGCGCGCTGCCGCGCGCGGCTGCGAAGGAACGCGGGGTCCAGGCCGGCGCAGGGGCCGAGTTTCTGCAAAGTTTGACCTGGTTGCCTTTCCGATGCTGCAGCAGAGCGAAGCGGCGCGGGGCGCGCCAGGCGGCTGCAGCGCAGTGGCAGGGCAGAGCGGCGATAGCACGCTCACAATGATCATAAAATAAGGAGGCGCTCGGGGTGGGGGCGAGAGAGCCCCGAGCCTCAGCCCTCCGCCCCTGGCCAACCCCACAGCAGCCCGGAGCCAGGGGGGGCTTTGGGATCCGGGGAGCCCACGCACCCCAAGACCCTAGTAGTCAGGGAACACTGCCCAGGGGAGGGGGCGCCCCGAGAACGTGCAGGCGGAGAGGTCAGGCGAGTGCGGAGGGCGGTGACCCAGGCGCTCGGAGCGGCCCTAGGGGCAGGTGAGTTCGCGACGCCCCTTGGGTGGGGACGTTACTGCCAAAGTTCCTCGGCAGAGGCGCGCGCCCCCGACGCGCCAGGCTCCGCAGCGGCTCGCGGCTGGCGAGGGGAAACTGAGGCACGGGGCGCGGCGGGGCGGGGGACAACGCGCTTTCTTGGGGTCGAGCCACCTCAGCAGGCGAAGGGCGGCACGGCGTTAAGGAGCAGCTTGGGGATGGAGCTGAGCCCCCGGGGGACCGAGAGCCCCGAGAGAGAAGGGGCGTTCCACTGTGGTGGAGAGGTGCTGAAGCGCGGCCCCGGAGCGCCCACTGCGGTGGTGGCCTGACCGATCCCCCACCCCGCCCCCGGGTAGATGGGTGTCAGCGGAGATGTCACCGGAGGCGATTATTCGCTGGTGAGCGCAGTCGTGCGGCCGCCACTGACGGGGCGGGCGGAGGGGGGCGCCACCTCCGGGGAGACCGCCCAGAGCTGCGCCGTCAGCTCCGCAGCCCGCGCCCGGCGCACACGCATCGCCGCGCCCTCGCGTCCCCCGCAGTAAAGTTCGGCTCAACTTTGACGCCCTGTCCCTTCCACCGCTCTGTAGGTCCTCGGCGGCCGCTGAGAAGTAGGCGGCGGGGGACACCCCAGCGCAGCCCCGGGGCCCCACGCGGCACTCGGCGGCGACAGCGACAGTGGCAAAGGAGCGCGCGAGTGGGCGCCGGAGGGGACCTGAAAGCACCTAACCCGGAGCGCCCCTCCTGGAACCTCGGGTGGGTGCCGGCGGCACAGGACCCCGGACCTCTGTCGACTGAAAGAGAGCTCAAGCTGCAATTGATTGGGCCCCGCCGGGCGGGCGCGTGTGTCCCGGGGAGCGGGTGCGGAAGGCAGAAGGGCAGGAAGTCGGCGTTCTGCAGCGAGGGTGGCGCGACCGCGCGGGGACCGAGCCTTCCTTATTTATGTGCTTGCCAGCGCCCGTCTGCTTCCTCCGAAGACTTCAGGGAGAGTGTCCGAGCTGCCATCCCCACGTGTGAGGACACAAGGCTGGATGTCAGAACAACATGCTTATTCATTAAACTCCAAACTTTTCTTTTTTTAAACCCAAAGAATATCGGTGGCTTTTGCCCACTGCTAGAAGAGGGAGCCCAGGGCTCTTGAGATGCTACAGAATCCGTATTTATAACCAGGCCCAGTAGTGCTATGCAAGCCCTCTCCCCTCAGTAAGTTCTCTAGCCTATGGATCTCGCTTTTGAGCTGTGAGAGTAGACTGCACGCTCTGCACTGGGTCCCACAACTTCCATCCTTTCAATGCCCTGTTATTTTTGGGACTGCTGGCCTTCCCTGGAGATTAGAGCGGTCCTGTGTGCCATGGGCTGTATTCAGAGCATCGGAGGCAAAGCCAGAGTCTTCCGGGAAGGGATTACCGTGATTGATGTGAAAGCCTCCATCGACCCCATCCCCACCAGCATCGACGAATCCTCCAGCGTGGTACTCCGCTACCGGACACCCCACTTCCGGGCCTCAGCCCAGGTGGTCATGCCGCCCATCCCCAAGAAGGAGACCTGGATTGTTGGCTGGATTCAGGCGTGCAGCCACATGGAGTTTTACAACCAGTATGGGGAGCAGGGCATGTGAGTACTGGGAACCAGCTGGGGGCCCTGCAGGGTAAGCTTGGAGGCTAGGTGAAGCTGGGGCAGGGCTGCTGGGACCCAGGGTTCTGAAGGCAGGGGTGGAATTGTTTCCAAGGCTTCTTGGGTCGGGCAACTCTCTGGAACCTTGTTGATCAGGGTCCTAGCTCAGCTAGACCAGTCCTGCTACTGTCCCTCGTGCCCAGGGCTCCTTTGTCTGTCCCTGGCAAGATGCTGAGAAAACAGGACCTCTTAGTAAAACAAGTGTCCAGGCCATCTGTGATCACCAGAGAAGCCACCACTCTGCCCCCAGGCTCAGGTCTCCCTGAGGCAGACAGGAGTGGTGGGAGGCCTCTGGGACAGCCTCCATACTTTTTTGCACAGGACTTTACCGTGGGGCCTGAACTTGCATCTGGGGCGTGGGAAGTGGCTCAGGAGCATGGCCATCTTCAAACGGGCAGCTTTGCCGTTGTCAGTGGTGGAAGCTGGCGGCAGTGTGTGTTGGAGAGGGACTGCAGAAACCCAGTTTGCTTTTGCAGTATGCAGCTTTGTCTCCAAGTAGAGGTCAAGGGTCAACATCCAAAGTGGCCCCAACCAGGAACAGCCAGCGGAGCACACTGTCCTCATCTTTGTGGTTTGGTCTCCTAGAATGACATAGATCTCCCTGGGGTCGCTGGAGCACTTCGGTCTTGTTCTGCGTGTTCTCTGGCCTCCGAGAAGGCCATTTCCCCCATATGGTAAAAGCAGCTGCTGAGACCCAGTCTCTGCCTTGCCCCCCCTCCCCCCATGGCAGCTCATGGACACCGTCTCACCGTCCTTGGTGTCCACTCTATGTGGCCTCACTTCTCAGCTTGCACATGGGGAAGAGGGGCGTCTCGTGGGGAGTTGGAGCTCTTGTTTGGAAAATGTGCAGGAGGAACCTGGTTCCCCGGGGCGGAGAGAGGCTGGACACAGGTTGACAGATGTGCTGCTCTTAAGCTCTGAAGGAAGCAGGAAGATGGGATGAGACTTAGACCTAGGTTGTCACCCTGATGGCCTAGAACCATTGGGGCACGTGGGGTCACTGGGCTCCCAGCGTCCCACCTCTGCCTTGGAGCCCTTCCTCTTTGAAGCCTGCAGAAACCACAGCTATTCTAGGGGGGTTGTGAGACTCTCAGGTATTCAGGAGGCCCTTCCCAAGAGAGCCTCCAGCCAGGTTCTCCTCAGGTCTCTTCCTGGCCTGGCTAAGCATCCAGACAGTTGTTGAGAAACACAAGCTTCCCTCAGGGTAAACCTATTGGCTTCTCTGGTGCCTCTTAGCTGCCCCCAGGGGTCAAGAGCCTGGGGCAATGTCCTTTAACTCTTACCGGCCCTGGGTTCCTAGTGAACCTTGACCACCCTAGACTCTGCGGTCACTTTCCAGGGTGTGATTCTAGGCAAGTGCCTTAGCCGTTCCAGGCCTCAGTTGACTCATCTGCAAACCGGGGCCCATCATAGTTCCTTCTGCATAGTTTATTGGGAGAATTACTCAGACAACCTTTGCCCCCATCGTGAGCACCAGGCCGGTCAACCTAGATGTGATTTCAGTTTCAAGTCTGTTAGACGGAAACGGGTGATGGTATTTATGAAGCTGGTGCTCTTGGCTGAAACCACTGAATTAGAAAAGATGCCAGCAACTCCTCATAATGCGTTCCCCCCCCCCCCCAGCGTGGGTCCTAAGCTCCTAACTTTTAAAACTGTAAAAATAGCATCATGCAGGGATGGTTAAAGTGGCCAAGGCCATTTTCTCTGCTCTCTGTTAGTGCCCGGCTCTGCTCATTCTTTTAAGGTATGCTGGCTCTTCAGCCCAGGTGTGCCAGGCCAGCTGCAGTCCAGGCACAGGGGCAGGTGACCATCCCCTGGACGAAGCAGTGGATGGAGCCTCTAGTCAGCAAAACAGTGTGAAGCCTGGACCTGCTGAGTAGCCCTGTCCCTGTGATCCCATTGCATGAGGTGCCGTGTGCACCTTGTCCCGTGGAGACACAGCGCTGCTTTCACAGGAAGCCTGGAATCCACCCTTCATAGCTCCTTCCTGGTTGCAAACAGAAGCATTTAGATGGGGTTATTAACAAACCTTTCAGGCTGGGCATCATGATGCTTTAATCCCAGCACTCAGCAGGCAAAGGCAGGCCGATCTCTCTGACTTGGAGGCCAGCCTGGTCTACGTAGTGAGCTGGAGGCCAGCCTGGTCTATAAAGTGAGCTTCAGGCCAGCCAGGGTTTCATCACGAGACCCTGTCACCAAAAGGAAAACAAAATGACCCCTTCCTGTAGGAACTGCTGCCTTGGAGTTCTTGAGTCCAAGTGAGTGGGTGCTTGTCTCCCCCCCGCCCCCCCGCTGTGCTGTCAGATACCACCACCCTGGTGGTGGCATTACAGAGGGTGCTTGGGTCTACTTCCCCCAACTGGTAAGAACCACAAATGTCCCCAAACAGGATCCCACGTGCCCTAGGAGGGGTGTGAAATTACTGAAAGACTCACCCTAGACAATTTGGGCCTCTAATGTGAACTCCAGGCCCCAGGCATCAGTGCCCAGAGGAGGGGCCCGCCAGGTGGCCCGGGCTGGATTAGGGCTTGTGTTCTTTACAAATGGGCTTATATTAAAAATATTAATTCTGACTGCTTATCTGAAATCCATAACATCCCCCAGCATTATCCCTGCTTGGAATTCATCTCTCAGCGAAGAGGGCATGTCGGGTGGCATTCTGGACTTGGCATTATTTGAGATGGAATACTGATTTCCAAAAGCCACCACCTAAGTCCGTCACAGCCCAGCTGTGCAGGAGGGTGCTGGAAGGTGGCACCTCTCTTGGACCAGCTCAAGAGGGTTCTATACAGCACCGGGTGCAATCCACAGTACTTTCCAAGCCAACCCCCTCCAAACTGGTGGAGACACCTGCCTCCTCAGCTGTCCCCCGCAGTTCCTCAGCCGCCACCTGTCAGCTGGTGTAGAGCCTTCTAAATGACGAGTTACAGTTTCTTGCCTGTGTGGGAGACACTGTGCATGCTGTCCCTCGTTTGCCCTTCTTTGGAGCTCTCCGGGAACCTGGCCCATGGCCAAGGCCAAGGCCAAGGCTAGGAGTGGTGTAGTCAGGATGAGCCAGTGGGCTGATGTGGAGGGGATGGGAGAACAGTTTAGACCTCGTTGTTCCCACCTGTGAAAAGGGGGTGCATCTACCTCCCTGTTCACTTGGCTCCGTGGGATGAGCCTGGAACACTCTCTGCTCCATCTCCCTAGATACCACGGTTACAGATCCTGAGCCTTAGTACTGGATTATTGTTCTACGCTGTGTGGCCAAGAGGCAAACCGAGATCCACGTCCAGTGTTGCTCCTGGCTTTTCTCTGGGCTCCTTTCCATAGCAAGACAGCCGTGGCCCCTGAGGCCTTTTTGGTTTTCTTGACTGACCCGCAGGCGTTCCACATGTCTGTCACAGGGCTTGGAGAGACTTGTGCAGAAACAAGTCCGTTTCTGGAACATGGGCCGTTTTCTACCCTGCTATCTCTGGGGTACACCCCAAGACCTCAGAGACCCTAATCTAAGGATGAGGCTGCACACTGTAAACTCAAAAGCCACTTGCCCAAGAATTTTTGCTCAGCACCTGAGAATGTGGGAGGGCCCCAGGAGGAATGTCCCAGCTGGCCGTGTGGGCTCTTCCCGGAGCCTAGGGCCCGAGGCCTCACAGAACAATTGAAGACTATGCTTCCTGTCTTGGGGCGGAAGGCGGCTTCCCCCATCTGCTGGGCAATGGCGGAGGCCAGGGCGGGGTGAGTGGGGGAGGGAAGTCCTTGTTTCCGAGCTTCAGGGTGGGAGGGAAGTGGTGGGGGTGGCCCAGACCAGGAGAACTCCCCTCAGACTAGCCATGACCAAGTGATGTCTGTAGCCTGAATCTACCTTCAGAGAGTGGGGAGCAAGTGGCCTGTTCTGGGGATGCACAGCCAGGCACCCAGCCGGGGGTGTCAGGGAAATGCTTAGGAAATGCTATGAGCTCGGCTGCAGAGCCAGGGACAGTAAGGATGCGGAGGCAGAGCCTCTTGTTTTGGGAGCAGCATCAAGGCATCCACTCTCCGCTATCCAGTGAGCCTGGCTGTTGTTGTACCCTTCAGTCCAGGGCGTCTGCTTTTAGGGACTGACTTACAGAACACTGTATGCTACTCTGGGCCCAGCTTCTGGAGACACCCTAGGTAACATAGCTAACAAAGCACATTCATATGAAGGACGGGGCCTGTGCAGGCCCATGGCACCACATGAAGATCTTGTCTTAGGACTATGGTAGCTGGCAGGGATACATAACCCTGGCATCTTCCAGTTGGGAGAGAGAATTAAGACATGTCCACTGTGCAGAGGACTGCTGTTACAAACAATCAGGTTTCCATGGAAACAGTAGTGGCGCATTGAAATAATGTTGGAAGAGGAGCCTAGGGCCCTGCTCAGTGGCAGAGACCTTGCCTTGCACGTGAGAGGCCTTGGGTTCCACAGAAGCCACCCAAACGTGCAAGAATCAGATAGAGAAGGGTTACGGTGAAAAGAATGGTAAACATGGGGACACATCCTGTGTGTACGTGTGGAAACGTCCGGAAGGCTGTTTACTGAAGTGTGTAGAGTCATGACTGACCTCCATGGAAGGAGGGGCAGAGGAGAGATAACTTGGTTTTTACCTTATTAATTTTGTTTTGTTTTGTTTTTTTCCAGACAGGGTTTCTCTGTGTAGCCCTGGCTGCCTGGAAACTCACCCTGTAGACCAGGCTGGCCTCAAACGCACAGCGATCTGCCTGCCTCTGCCTCCCAAGCGCCGGGATTAAAGACGTGCGCCGCCACCACTGCTCGGCTGCTTTATAATTTATTAGAATCTTGCTTATTTTTTTAAAGGACACATTTTATTACTAGAAACTAATGAAAACTTTAAAGGAAGAATAGTTTATTGAATACCCTGCAAGAAGGCAGTAGTCTGGGCAGCTCCAGCCATAGTGTAGGACCTTGAAACTGG